ATGTACACGAAACAACCGAAATTAAAAAATCAATCGATGAATAAATCAATAAATAAATCAATGATGGAAAAAAATAGTACAATCCGAATCGCGAACCGCGAACCACGAACCGAACCGCGAAATAAATCGCAAACATTATTTGATCTCACCCAATCTCACCTCAGATATCAAGTGATCATTATAAAAAAAGTCACTCACCGACCGATGCGCAACGGACGGAGTTACGTCAGCCACGTTGCTCCGATGATTCTGTAACACAAAAATGAAAGATTCATATTAAATAGACGCTCAAAATAATCAATGTTTCAAAAAATAATTTTTAAACGTCACGTCTACGTCGTCTTTTAATTAGATTTACTAATATATAATTTACTTATTTCCTGAGAAAAACCTTTATGAGAATATAAACTTTTATAAAATTTTAGATAAACGTTCGGTTTCTCAAATTATTTCTTGCTTATCCGAGATAAATCGACGCGAATAAATAGAAAAGAACAATTAATTTTAAAAATGAGAAATAACACTTACCCCAAGGTTGCTCCGTCGGGGCCCGATGCCTTTGCCAGGCCTCCTCCTCCTCTCAGACCGTCTGGGTGGTCAGCCCTTCTCCTTCCGCACAGGACATTCACAGAACCGCTGTCCAATATTTCGCGATCGAGTACGAAGTAACTGTAATAATATAATCGCGACCAATTATTAATTAATTATTAGTTAATTATTTAGTATTAAGTTTAAAGATTTCACCGTATAAAATATTAGGCTTTACAATCGCTGCGACTTTTAGTTTTTGACTTTTTATTTATATATTCGCGATTAGATTTACCGCGATTAGATTTACCGCGATTAGATTTTTTATTAGATATGGACGATATGCATATGAATTTCATGAAAGTAAATTACTGTGGCTTCCCCATTGTCACCACCGCGAACTTAAACTTCAAAGTTTTTTTATGAATTCTCATAAAAGATCAAAAAAGATTAACTAAGGATGCCTACCTTTTCGAATTCTTTCTCCTGGACCCCTAATTTCTTTAACAACCTGTCCTTCATTTTGGGAAAAGGTTCGCCGTGCTTGATCTTGAAGAAGAAGGGTATACCGAACGTTGAGAAAACCTCTTTGTGAAAATGCGCAACAGGAACTTGCATTTCGCCCTCTGCTAGATTCACTTCGTCAACCGGTATTTCTTCTATCCTATACAACTTGGTGCCTGATGTGTTTAAGTGATCTAATGGTGTATCGTCCACGGGGCCGGGTGACAGCTTGTTGCAAGTCATTTCTAAT